CTTTCACTGCTTTAATCATCAACTATTAATTTTCTTAAATTTAAATCACTGTTAGAGTAAGAAGACTAAGGGAGAAAGAGTTTTATCATGAGACCAGAACACCAGAACAGTCATTGCTTTCATCACTATCTACGAAATGGTTTAGAAACACTTTCCATTTCACTGCCTGAGTTAAAATGCCTGAGAAGAAGAAATTTCTCATGAGATATCTCGTTAGCCAGTTCAGAACAATCCTGGCTTTCATAGCCTTCATTACTCTTTATGAATTATATTGAATCCCTATTGAATTCGCTGCCAGTGTAAGATCCAAGACTTGCAAAAACATCACCAATTTACAGCCACAGTATATGCACGGCATTTTGTCATGGACACTATCATTTTTCAATGCCAAGATTTTATTTACTGGCTGTTGAGAGGCATAAATATCACTACTTTACGTTTGAAAGAAAATTAAATTGCATTATTTTCAGTGCAGCATAAACAGTTACAGGATCTGACATTATATCATCTTATTTCTTCTCTCTCTCTCTCACTCTCTGTGCTGTATGCCTTTAGGATATTAACGAGCATGGCTCTTCACAACTTTCCATCTTTTGTTGCTCTAACCCAGTGATTCTAAACCTTTTTAAGCAACAGCACACCTAGGAGAAAATGAAAATATCACAGCAGACTTAGCAAAATTTTTAAAGGGTATACTTCTTTTTTTTTTTTTTTTTTTTTTTTTTTTTTAAAAGCAATTCACCCAAAGCAAGGCAGGAGTGGCACTAGCATAAAAGAGGGTTACAGAGGATTGAGAATAAGAGTAAAGAGGCATGTTTGAGGAAAGGATGCAGAAAAGGATAGGGGAACAAGATCAAGGTATCAGATGTCGATTGACATTACATTTGAATATTTGAAGATTATAGCTACTAGGGAAGCAAGTAGGAGGAAGGGAGTTCCACAGACGGGAAGTGTGAGAGAAGAAGCTCTTTGAGTAGGAGAGATGGTTACATTTAGCCATTTTGAGAGTGAAGGGGTGTGACTGAGATGCCAACCTAGTAGCTAGCTTAAATTCATGCAGTCTGGGAACCAGCAAAAGTAGCTCGTCGGAATAGTTGACGTGAAAATATTTGTAGAAGAGAAAGAGGGAAATAAAACCACAGATTAAAAAAAAAATACATAAATAAATATGAATTAGCTTTATTTCAATGTTTTAATTTAACTATTTGTGCAGCTTATTTAGTATGAAACTTGTGATTGGTGTTTTTTCGTAGCAATATTTTGTGGCCCACTTAAGAGGATTGCACGGCATGGTGGTTGAGAATCCCTGCTCTAACCAACACATACTCCTTTATTAGCCTGCTTTGACTTTGTGCTACATGTTCTTCCATTCATTTACCTGAAGTTGTCAAGCACCTAATGCTAATGGTTAACAAGGCCTGTCTACTTGACTTTTTAATACTGATTTCTGATTGTGACCCTTATTTGGTATCCACAAACAAAATTCAATATTAAATAAGCCTAAAAGTGTTGATAATCAGACAACCAACAATTGGCGTGTAGTAATGATTAGCATGGCTACTTTGATTGAACATTAATGAGTTTGATCCTCACTAGGTGCCCTATACAAAATTTATCTTTAAATAACCCAACAGAGCTTGATAAGTCATAGAATCAATCAACTAACAATTGGCGTTGGTTAATAGTGAGGTTAGTCTGGTTGACCATTACAACTGGTTAGTAAGTTTGATCCTCACTAGGTGTCCTATACAAAATTTGGCTTTGAATAATCCAACAAGTGATGGCATGTTGTAAAATCAACCAGCCTTACCTCAGTATGGGATAATAGTTGGCAATGCTAGTGTGGATGACTATTACTATTGTTTAGTCAGTTTGATCCACACTGGGTGCCTCTATAAAAAATCAAACAAATGTTGACATGTAAAATAAACATACTGAATCCACTCAAGCTTGTCAAATAGGTTACCTGCTGCTTTTGTCTTGCCTTGTGAGTGTTACATTCATCAACCTTTCTTTCCTCATTGCTTTCCAAAAAATTCAGCTGTCTCTTTCTGATTATCAGCAATATTTTCTTTGCATGTCATATTCTCCTTAAAGCTTCAACTTGATCATTGACTTCTTAAAGAGTTACCTAAACTTTGTTTTTATTTACAAATGTCAAGTTTGAAGCTGTGCATATGTCATTGATAACTGTATACTATAGATGTTGTCCTTTTTCCAAATTTGTATCTGTACACAATTTTCAATGATGTAAGCACAGTTTCAAACTTGACTTTTGTAAATAAAAATAAAGTTCAGGTAACTCTTTCAGAAGTCAGTGATCGATTTGATATTGTATTTATATTATAAACTGGGCCCAACTTCTAAAATGATTAAAATCAATAATTTTCAAATCTGACAAATGTCATTCAACCTCTGTCATGATCATAGTCCACAACCCCATGAATTCCAAAATCTTTTTAACCCTTTGACCCCTGCATTCCTGAACAATTTTAACCCTTCTGCTTGAGCTCCTCTGTCAAAATTCGCAAATAATTGGTATGTAATGCTTCACGGTAGATATAAAAATAGTTACAAGTGTTTATCCACTGTTCAACTGGTAGCTAGGTATTAAGTAATTTTTCTTTACCATTGTTCAACCGGTGGCTGGGTATTACGTCATTTTTCTCTACTACTGGTAAAGCAGTGGTCAGGGCTCAAAAGGTTAATGGCTGTCTAGTATAGCTCAGAATTAGAAATTGGAGAGCCAAGTTCTAATCTCAGTTGCGTTCATTATAATCACTTATGTGCAAATACTCTTGGGAAAGTTATTAATCCACCTTGTCTCCCCCCAACTATGGGTTAATTAATAAAGTTTTTATCAGTAAAAATCATTAATATGTCCAAAAAACTTCTTACAATCTAAAAATATTTTCTGGCTTTAAATAACTTGCGGAAGGTTGATAAGCCATAAAAAATAAATTGATCAATCATGTTTCGTAGATTGTTATCAGGAAAAGGTTTGTCCAAGTGGTCATTCGGCCACTCTTTTCACTATCAGTCATCATGACATGCTAATGGCAAGACCTTTAGTATATTTTGATGATAGATCAGAGCACAGGGATAATTAAGTTTATGCCTTCCTCATGGATTAATTAATAATTGATTAATAATACAGTTGAAATATAATGCAGCTGGGTGACTATTTTCCATGCTTATCATTGTTAATCTCCACTTTCTTTTATGTTTGGCACAGTCTTTTCAGAATCTGAGTGTTCATAGCTCTCCACAACTTCCTATCCTTTGTTGTTCAAAGCATCTATCCCTTTAGGTAGGTTAATCAGTTTCTCTCTGCCCCTCTTATCTTTAATATGTCTTGTGAGTGTCAAATTCTCTAAGCCCTCTTTCTTCATTATGTCTCCCAGAAATTTCAGCCATCTCTTTCATAAATTTTTTGACAATAATATGAATCCACTGACAGTAAATATGCAAAATTGAAAAGAACAAGGAACGACCTGTGTCCAGTATGAGGCATTAGAACCAGAATGCAAAATTGAATGAAAACAGCAGTTTCAAGGCAGGCAGACACACAGACATGTGAGAAAATGACTTTTTTTTCTTTTCTTTTTTTAATGTATAAACTGTTTGCCAGTTTTCTGTTTTCTTGTATTTATTTCAATAAATTCCCTTTAAAGAAAGAACTAAGATAAGGCTGATGATAATCACCCCCACCCCACAGAATCAACCACCCCCATCTCTTTTCAACTCCCTCCAAACTTACCCTATAAAAAAAACAAAAAAACAAAAAACTCTGTTATAAAACCCGAAGGAGATATAAACAAATCAGAGATTTTTATCCGAAAAAAAAAAAATCAAAAGCAAATTTTTATTTTCTCAAAGTGTGAATTTCAAAATTCCTTTTATTTATTTCATTAAAGCAAGAATGTGTATATATATATGCGTCTGTTTATATTGTGTGTATATATGTATTTGACTTTATAAAGGTAGAACATATGAGTGCAGATATCTGTATGTGGGTGTTTTAAAAGTGTGTTCACATGCATGTCAGATAGTGGTATGTTTGCATACATGAATGCATCAGTATATATTTTCGTACGTGTGTGTGTGTGTGTGTGTGTGTAACTATGTGTATTTTCTGAGTTTTCCTCAAGGTCACACAATTGAGGGAGCCTAATAATGATTAAAATCACTATAATAGCAATTGATCTGCTAGGTGAACTTGTTAAACATAACACTGCAGTAATTATACTTCATGTCAGTATTTACTAAGCTTAGCTCAGTCTGGCACAAGACCACAAGTATGGGGTACCCAGTGACAAAGACACTACACTGTGATAATGGTTTGTAAGGCTAGCTTAATAACTATTGCTGTGTGTGCTAATATTGAGCTATATATTTATAGAGAATATATGTAATGTGCATTTTTTTATCTTGACATATCTTTCTAAATAAAAATGGATAAAAAGAAAGAAGACAGGAAAATAGAGGAAAAATTAATGAAATGTAAACACAAAAGAAAATGGTGTGAAAAATAAAGAAAATCTTGAAAGAATGAAAAAAGGATTTGAAAGAAAGAAAGAAAAGGAAAATGGGAGAAAAGTAGGACAAAAAATAAAAATAAATGGAAGAAAGGGAGGGGAGAAAAAGAAAGGAAGAAATGGAAGAAAGGCAGGGACAAAAATAAAGAAAGAAATAAGGGAAGAAAATGAGAGGAGAAAAAGAAAGAAAGAAGAAATTAAAGAGAAGAGGAAAAGAAGAAGTGCAAGAGAGAAGAGATGAAAGGTAGCAAAAGGTAGATGAATTAACAGGAAAAAGAGTGGGAAAAGAACCAAAAAAAAGAAAGAAAGTAAAAAGAGGAAAAATACAAACAAGGTTAGAACAAAAAAGAGAGAGAGAGAGAGAGAGAGAGAGAGAGAGAGAGTCAGTCAAACTACTAAAATAAGGAGAAATAGAAAAAAGGAAAGAAAGAAAATATTTTTATGAAATTTTTTGCATTTTTTATGGAAAGTGAGTGGTGCATAAAATGCCTTGCCAACAATAAAAGTAGACAAACATGAAATGTTTAGTCAAGTGTGAAAATCATCCATCACTCTCCCTCTCTTTCAACTTCTCTCTTTAATTTATTCCAATATATTCTCTCTCTCTCTACTTTTTCTTTATTTTCTTCAAGTGTTCTCTTTCTCATTTCTCTCTTATTTTCTTTCCAATGTTCTCTCTATCTCTCAACTTCTCATTCTCTTTTTTTCTCTCTTCAAACTTCCCTCTCACTTTTTCTTCCAATGTTCTCTTTCTATTTCTTTATTTTCAGCTAATATTCTCACTCTCTCTCTCTCTCAATTTATCTCTCTCCTTCTTATATTCTCTATCTCAGAAAACTTCAGGTGCTGTAAGCTTGGATGTTTGGTTCGTATAATGGATAATGCCTCGAAAGTGTAGTGCTGTGTTCCAATATAAATCAGGTTTGTAATATTCACTTCTGTGCAAGTACTCTTGGGAAAGGTATGAATCCTCCTCTTCTCCCCCAGCAATAGGTTAATTAGTAGAACTTGTATCAGTAAATTATTATTATTTCTAAAAATTTCTTACAATTTAAAAATATTAAATGGCTTTAAATAACCTGCAAAGAGTTGGTGGGTTGTAAAAACAAAGCAATCAATCAATTTCTCACAAGACTTACCTCTCTTTTTCTTCTAATGTTCTCTCTCTTTCAACTTACCTCTCTCTTTATTTTCTTTGAATATCTATCAAAAAAGGGGTCTCTTTATTTTCTTCCTCTCAACTTAACCTTAGTCTTTTTTTTTCAATCAGTTTCTCTCAACACTTACCTCTCTTTTTCTCCTAGTGTTCTCTCTCTTTCAACTTACCTCTCTTTTTATTTTCTTCCAGTATCTCTCTATCAAAAAAGGCCTCTCTTTATTTTCTTCCTCTCAGTCTTTTTTTTTCTTCCAACATTCTCTCTTTTTCAACTTATCTCTCTCTTTTTCTTTTAATATTTCTCTCTTTTTCAACTTACCTCTCTCTTTTTCTTTTAATATTTCTCTCTCCAAATTTATCTCCTTATTTATTTTCTTTTAATATTCTTTCTCCCAAAAAGAACTTAACTTTCTATTTTCTTCTAATTTCATCTTTCTGTCTTCTTTTTCATTTATTTCAAGTGTTAAATATTGAAATGACACAATTTTGATCTTGTTAAGTCCATTTTCCCAGTATTAGTCATTATTTTTTAAAGAATTTTCCTCCAAAAACAAACCGCGAAAAATTAATGAAATGTTTCTCCTTAGATTTTAGCATCTTTGCTATTAAGAGATTTTACTGTTTGGAACATTAGTCTCTAAAATAAGATTAGCTCACAAAGGGGGAAAACAAGTTTGGTGCAAGAGTGAAAAATAGATTGATTTATTTTAAATAAATTGTATACTATGTCTGTAGCATTGTAGTAGATTAGAAAATATAAAAGAAAAAAAAAGAAATTCTGGAAGCTGAAAATCTAGAATATATATATATCAGTCTATATATATATGCACAAACACATATCATACACACTCCCAAAGAACTAAAAGATAACATACACTTAACATGCACATCCCATTCTCAGCTTTCAATAAAACTGTCAAAATGACCAAGGAGGGAATTCTTAAAGTCAGGAATCTCCCATCCTCTATCTTAAAAATAAATTGAAAGACCAACACAAGTACTGACAAAAATTAACGATAAGAAACAGATGAAAACTACAAATAAATTTCACTTTCTTCAGAAACAGTCATTCACTCCTGTAGTTCACTGCAGGGAATTTTTTCTTCTGATGATGACCATGCTGGCCGAAACCTGAACTGAAATTAAGGAACCTAATTGAAATAATAAAACAAAAAAAAATATTAATATACAACCCAGTGTGTCTGAAAATTCTAATTTTTTTAATATTTTTTATTGCTCAAAACATATATATATAACTGATAGCAAAAATATTCTTTGTGTATTTTTTATGTCTTTTTATTTAGTTAACATATATGTGGGAGTGGTGCACAATAAAGTTTTGGGCAAATTACTAAGCATTTGGCTACTCTTGTAGCCTTTGTTTTATATTGAATATTCCTTTTTGAACTGGACTAAATTTAAAATCCATTAGATGTTAATGACCGCACTGTAAGAATTCTATGGTTATGACAGCTGGTAAAGATTTTTATTGCTTCTTGTTCAATCTTTTCCCTCATACTGGCCTGTCTCTCACTCTGATCAGACCACACCAACTACAAATGGGGTGATGTATGGCTTAAAACTTTTTTACAGTTTGTCTTATTAGTGTGTTAACAAGATTGTACATACTAGAATATAAGATGAAAAATATTAAATAATAATAATAACTACCATAATACAAACAATTTGAACATCTCAAAAATGCAGGCCTAGGCCTGTAGCCAACAGACCATCTGTTTCAAAAATAAAAAGGGGGTGTCTATTTCTATAATAATATTTGAAGTAATATATATATATATATAGTCATCCACAGAGAGACTGTTTCACTGCATCACTGCTCATCAGTGTGCCTCAAGCCAGGATCAAAACCCGGCTGATTTGGCATCAGTCAAAGATTTTTCCCCTAAGCTATCAGCTCCCAACAGAGAGGAAGGTGAAGTTTTACATATTTATTTTTAAATAAACACACCAGTGAATCAGAGTGCTCAATTCATAGAAGAGCTTTGCATTATCAGCAGTAATAATCACTGTTTACAAATTTGCGGTTACCCTCTAAAGTGTTTGACCAAATTTTGGGGGGAGGTGTGTGTGTGTGTGTGTGTGTGTGTGTGTGTGTGTGTGTGTATATATCCTAATTGCAAAAATATCAGAATGTATGTCAAGTTCAAATATTTGTCAAATCACAACTAAAAGACTGGATATTTACTAATTCTTGCATTGTATGACACAAGGCCATCAAAACCTGTGACTTAATTCACATTTATAATATACAACAGTTTATTACCCATAATTTCTTATTTCTAACACCTATAATTCATCAAGGACCATTTAGTACAAATGATATCTGGTCACTCTCCAACTGATACTGTTTACCATGAAACTCATTACCATCTGTTGCGTTGTTGGGTCATTGATGATGAAACTGGTTTCCCTACCTGGCTTTTCTGCCGAGGAGGGTGGTTAGGCATCCAGTTGGATTAAAAGCAAGACCTGTCAAAGGAGGATGAAGCTTCACCAGCCATCTAGCACAATGGGGTAGATTGGGTTCTGTAGCTATGTCTGCAAGCCAGTGCAGTGATGACTCATCAGTGTTGAGCTGAGGACCTCCTAGACTGCTGTTAATGATCAGGGTGGAGGTTTCATAGATAGAATCAACAACCACATGTCTGTGAACAAGCTGAGTATTTTAGATGGAGGGCATCGTCTCTGGTTTGAACTGAACAGGGATTGTTTCTGGTCAGGTCACCTTACCCAAGGCATAATATGCATGAATGAATCCACTTCTTCAATCCAGATGTGTGGAGGGAATAAGTCTGATATCATGTAACTGATGGTAATGATACTATGTTAATATAACTGACATAACAAAATTAATATAAAAAATATGTAATATAACATGAAGTTGATATAAAATATATAAGATAAAGTTAATATAAATGATATAATAGAAAGTTAATATCAACTATTTAATATAACAAAGTTAATATCAAAGATGTGATATAACAAAGTTAAGATAAAAAATATAATGTTAATATAAAAGATATAATATATAGATTTAATATAAAAATGTGATATAATAAAAGGTTAATATGAAAGATATAACAAAGTTAATAGACAATAGAAAGTTAATATAAAAGACATAATAGAAAGTTAATATAAAACATATATGGACTTGTCGTGCTAAACAATTTTTCTCATCAGAATCCATTTTGCACATTTATAAATCTACCATTTGTCCATGCATTGAATATTGCTGCCATATCTGGTCTGGTATTGATCAATGGCTCTAGAAATCAAACCAAGACAGAGCTGTAACAATAACAAACTCCAAAAAGCACTGAGTAATGATTTACTTTGGAGTACCTGAGCACTTTTGGCATTTATATATATATATATATATATATATATATATATATATATAGGGTGATTGAAAAATAATTCCCTATTTTATGTATGAATAGCCAGTGAGGGGTCCTGACTTAACCCCCTGTGAATCTTTTCCTTTGGGGTTGGGTTAAAGGAGCAAGTCTATTATACCAAACCAAGACTTTGGAAGAACTTGAAGGGGAATACAAGAAGTTATGTCTTCCATACCACAAGAGTTCCTGGTGAAATCAGTTGACATAATTCCTGGGCAGCTTGAGAAGCTGGTAGTGAAATCTGGTGCCCATATGGAATTTTAAATAAAAACTGATGATAAACACTTTCCTCTCGTATCCATTTCTTGTAATAAATTATAAATATTTTAAAATGGCGTGATTACTTTTCAATCACCTTGTATATGCAATTACAAAAAAATCAGTTGCATTTTATGTTTGATATGCAAATGCACTGTGTTGTGGAATCTTACATAAATATCTGACATTTCTATATACATGAATATATGTATATGTGTTGCTATATATATATAATATGTTTGTAGTTATCTCAATATGCAATCATCTCTCTCTCTCTCTCTCTATATATATATATATATATATATATATATATATATCTGAATAAAATGGATGAATTTATGAATATATATTTGTGTGTATGAAAATGTGTTTGTGTGATATGTATATATTCTCAGACTTACATTTTATGCATAGACTTAAATGTGTGTGTAATATATATATATATATATATTTATATTATATACACACACATAAGTATTTGTAGAAATGGTGTCTCTATCAGTTGGTCACTATCTAAAATTTCATGTATCAGTACACACAACTCAGGCATCTGGCATTACTTGCTGTTGTGCTGGCTTCAAATATATATATATATATATATATATATATATATATCTACTATTCTGACAGTACAACTTAGAGTTTCATGCTTAATGCAATTTTCAGGTACTGATTGTTGATTACAGTTTGTTTTCTAGTTGTACTGTCGTGGTGTATTATATCTATTAACATATACTTAATAGCTCTGTTATTTAGTGTTGAGCACTGTTTTTCTTATACTAAAGGATATATGTATTTGTATGTGAACACTTACACATACATTATTTATTTATATTTATCCATTTTATATTTATATATATTATCTATATATATATATATATATATATATCGTGAGTTTGTGTCAAGGTTTTTACAACATTTCCCCTTTACTTAAAAATTTTCTGTTGTCACAGTGTGGGATATTTAAAAACAATAGCAACCAAAGCAAAAGCATGAGGTTGATTGAGTTGTGTGTCTGGATATATCGAACACAAGAAATTTTAAATTTGTCATTCCTTGATACATATTTATAACAATGTTTACATTTATATCTCCTCCTCCCCTTACATATAATTCCATCAATAAGAACATTTCATTAGTCTAAGGAAATCTCTTTAGAGGAGAAAATGTGTGACATAGAATTTTTTCCTTTTTGTCACTCAATTACCATATGTGTTCATAAGGACTCATTTAAACATGCAAACCTACCAAACTCCATCCGAAACATCCTAGTAGAAAATACAAGTATGATAGCCTTATCCATATGTAAAAGATAATAAAAAATAATGGAAGCCCTAATAATAAAAAAGGAAAAACCAAAACTCAATAACATTAAATATAAACATGGCCAAAATGTGCTGACTGTGTTTGGGAAATAAAACATTCCTATAACTTCAGACATCTACATAAAAAAAAACTACACATTCAGTTGAAATAATAAAAAAATTAAAATGTCCTTGATATTTCTAAAAGAATAGCTGAAAGTACTTGGATATCAATTTTGGACAGTTTTTAACACTTTGTGTCCAGAAAACAAAACACATGTACGAACACAAGAAAATTAAATGAAAAGCTTAATC